TAGAGCACATAATCCAGTGAAAGTCACTAGTATTGCTACAGTTTATATCTATGTTGTAATCACTGCAACCACTGAGATCGGCCGGTTACATTCAAATGATCAACGTCATTTTGTACGAATTACAAAATGAACGTACAGTACAAATAAAATCATAATAGCTGTGTGTGCCCCCTTGAAAGAACCTTCTATACCCAAAGATGACTAATATGGAAACACATTTAAAAATCCTCCTATTTAAGAGCAGAATTGTATTTTGAGCAATCCTTGGCCAACAACCAGCGTTTTGATAGTATCTTGAAGAAGGCTTTGTGATGTCTAAGTTCATCTAAGAACTAAAACAAGTTCCATTTTGAGACCAGAATTATATTTTACCCTCAGCAAATCTCGGTTATCACTATTAAAATGTTGAAATAAAGCTTAGTGCAGAGTTCTGAACTGTGATGTTCCATTTAAGTACTAAACATGTTCTATATTGAGATCGGAATCATATTTTACCCTGAGAAAATCTCGCTTAATTATTAGGTTAAACAATCAAATCAAAAGTTACATTTTGGGAACGGAATCACGTTTTACCCTGAGCACAAGGTAATCTATGGAAAAAGGCTTGGCCATGGGTCACAACCAATATACTGGAGTGTTCTGAATTATTATTTTCAATCAAGTGTACTAAAACAAGTTTCGTACTGAGAACGTAAACCCATTTTACACTGAGCTAAGCTCGGCCATCTTTAGAGCGCTTAGAGTAAATTTCCGAATTGTTGTGTTCTATGTAAGTACTAAACAGGATTGCGTTGACTATAAATGATTAGTTGCCCAATCTCAGTACAAGGACACGGAACTACAGGTTGCGTACGCGAGAGCAAGCATGACAGAAGAGGTTGCGTAGGCAATAGTAACTATATAGCCTACCCGCGCAAACACGAAAACAAGCATACATGCATATATGCTTTGACCATAGACGATATATACGATTAATACATACCTGTATTAAAAGTAATATTTTTTATTGTTTTACGAGCGATTAAAACTATTTGTACCAAATCAACAGGGCATATCAATTTTAGGAATTGAAAATTGTGTATATACCTGCTTTTGGTAATCTCTGAAATTACGTATATTAACAAATTTCAGCCCCGAACTCTACCATCTTGAAGCTGTACCTGGCCATCCTATTACAAAACTTCATCTCTTAAAACTAAAACTGCAATATTGTAAAAGTACATTTGCGTACACGTCCATGAACCACACGGGAAGAAGAAATGTAAAAATTAACAATAGAAATTAAAAATCTGTATCTAAGCTTGTAGCCATCTAAATAAATCATTTACAGCCCTTGTTATGCACTGGATTTTTTTACATTTGCAAACTTTAATAATATTGCGTTTGTAACGAAGTCACCATTTTGTTGATGAAAGATGGAATACATCAGGAGGAAAAGACTCATATTTTCCAAAAAAAGTACTCCAGGTTAGTTTTCTTTGTTATAAAACGAATTTAACTTGATTTGGAAAGGAATTAGAGCAGATCGGTCTCAGAGGCACTGCACTTATCTGATTTTAAAATTACAAATATTATATACTTAAAACGTATGAATATGATATACGTACAGTATTCCATTTGGAGCCTTGCTAAAGGCATAGATAAAAGGAGCTAAAGGTGATCCACATAAGCCCTTTAGAGATGAACACTTTGGAAGATAAAACCCTATTGAATCAGTGTTGATTAGTATCCTCTTTGTACTTTATAACTCAGTGAAAACTTTAGCTTGTGAGACGTTTATACAACTGCTTTTCTAAATATAATTAATTTTCTAAATAAAAAATTTTTTTGACGTGGCAAGAAATATTTCAAAGAAAAATTATAAAATAGTATGTAAATTTTTACTTGTATTTAGTTTGTAGTTTGTATTTAGTTTTTAATGTATTTTAAAACATACATTTAGATTTTTTTACATTTAATAGAAGGAACATTTAGTTTAAAAAGTGACGAGATTAGGCCTAACATAAAAGGTGTACGAGTTGATTTTATGCGTCCCCGATCGGTGTTATTCCTTGTGAAATGAAAATATAGAGCACATTTCCTTAAATATCTAATAACGAACTATGAAGTATTAACTAACTAACTGTTAATATCAATCAATTATAATATTAATCATCAATTAATTCGTAGTTTTTTTTGCAATTTCCCAATTATTGGTTACTCAATTTAGGGATTATCTTATTTTCCCAAAAACGCCAATAACAACATCTATAGATGCGTAAATAACCTTTAATCCCTCAGAAATAACCTTCGAACAAATCTAGGATTAGTTAGTTAGGAAACCGGTTTTGTAGTGTAGTCGTAGTCAGTTATCTAGTTGATTGGTATTTTCATGATATACACAACGTTTTATAATGTTAAGCAGTGTATATGATCAGTCGTAGGCCCTCTAACACGGACTTTGCTTAATCCGGACAGTCATTTAACAGCAGTTCGTCAAAAAGCCATACATCAAATGTTTAAAATCGTAATGTTATAAATGCATAGCTATAACTTTGTAGTTTTCGTCCAGTTTACTTACAATGCTTCACAATGTACACACTTTTAGATCCCTAATTTTGTTGATGTACATTGGGGTTCGTCATGTAAGCCTAAAAGGTCCAGGAATAGTGGTTTCTTTCAACATTTTTAGTTTATTTTATGTTATCCGGACGATATGGCCTAATTAGTCTTGTTAATCGAGCGTGTACTGTATGATCGAAATTCCTGCTTTTTAGAAAACAAACCACTGTGATCGCATTTCAACATACTTATGACTTTAAATTAAACAATACCCTGTTTTATACCCAGTCTTTTTAAATATTTAATACTGAGTGTTTTAGTTAAAATAGGTTCAAACGAAACGTAGGCATATTGAACATAGCTAATCTTGAAATAAAAAAACGCAATGTAGAAATATAAAATTTGGTGCATTTTGTTAGTATCACAAAACTAAATAGTATCAAATCCTCGCTATGTCATACGTTTATGTGGAGACTATGTTTTAATCCAGATTTTTTGTTACCTAAAGAGAATTTGATCTAATACGACAGCAAACCGTAAGTTTCGTAATTACATAGACATTTCTTTATTTGACCTAGTGAAAATTTTACTTAATGAAACACTCCCAATAAAACCATTCCAACCACCACAAAGAAATCTTAAATACCAATAACTAGAATTGGGAACACCAATAGAATATTATACTAATCTAAAGACTACGTGAATGTTAACAAGATTGTAAATGAATACTTCGCCTAAAGAAATAATAGTAACAAATAAAAAAACTGTTCACGTTAATAGGCTTGATACTATATTTTTTATTACTATAGTATTGTCCCTTTTAAAAATTGTGTCTTTTTGTACAATAATAACGTTGGGAGAAAATTCCTTTGCGGAAAAGGAAGTTGAGAGGCAGCGCTACCGGCGGATTGCACCCCAATTAAGCTAGTCGCCTCCAGATCAACTTATGGTAATGAAGTATAGTCTGGTGCCGGCACTATGGAACGATACACCGGCACAAGGTCTAGTTGTCTCGGTCATGCTGATACAAGGCCTCTGAAAGTCCCAGATGGATGAAATGCGTAAAACGCCACTTGGAGTAGAAATTGGCTGGCTTTCTAGATTGCGTTGCCCCCCCCCCCCAAGTTTAAGTTATGGAGGTCCTTAAGCCAATCATCCTTTGAGTAGAAAACATTGTTATAAAGGTCATTGCTGCTCACACTTCTCACCAGTAGCACAGAAAACATACAATAGTATGTTTTCTGTGCCAGCAGGCTATCTATTTTCTACTGATGACTCATTGTGTGGATATAGAAATGACATCAGAACATCGATGATGTATAGTGTGGTATTTGGAGGATTCTTGTTTCTAGCAGAAGGAATAAATCAAAGATTTAAAATCGGCAGTTTTTATTGGTTGATTGACTAATCAACAAGATAACTTAATGGATGTACTATCTTTTAACTAATCAAATCAAAGACATAATTTTACCTGTGTGGTCAATTGATCCTTTGTAGTTGCATAACTGAATCAACTTTTTTCCCAATGCAACATGAAAAAAAGATTCCTAACAAATTTATTAATTTATTTGCACCTATTACTTTAAGACTCATCTGGGACCGATCGTAAAATATTGTACTTCTAAAAAATATAATGATTAAAACATTTTAGTTCATAGAATTGACAGTTTTCATTATTAAAGAAACTGGTTTTTAACTTCAAACCCATTAAGCTGCCAGCATTACTGGTCAAAATTTTGGGTACAGCTGGTCTAGTACTTAGAGTTGTGGGACTAGTGTGGGTTCAAAACCTGCAAATCTCAAATGTCTAATTCTAATTCTTAGTACTGTACATGGTAATGCTGTGACTATTGAGAGCCAACTAAGCTTAAGATCGACCCCTCATTTAAAAGAATGACTCCTAATCATGGCAGATACTCCTCTTCCTCTATAAAACAATCACTTGAAAATTTTCAATTTCAAATTCTGGCTTGATTTATTTCAAAACAAACTTTGATTACTGGCAGTGAGTGATATTTATTTATCTTATATAAAACAAACTAAAATTAATTGCGTAAAGATATTCAAAAGAGTTGAAGTAAGAGAGTAGTCAAATCTGGGAAGGTATGAGCCAGAGGGCTGAGGATAGATTCTCATAGGGGGGGGGGGGGGGTACCTCGAAGTTTGAGTTACCTACATTGACTTCCATTCCCAACAGTTGTCTCATTTAATAATGCATTTCATGTTTATAACAGTTATAATTTAAAAATACAATAGTTGTAGCCTATGGATACTTGCTCTTCAGCTCTTTAGGAATGAATGGGTTGTCCTGGCCCTCATGTCACTTCCTTTGGAGATGCCACTGGTTTGAACAAAAATCAAATATCCATTAGAGTCTGTGTTTTATTTTTGTTATTTACTTAGTATTCAATAGTTTTTGTTTTGATATTTAGTTTTACTTTGATTGCTTGTTTGTGCAGGGCGATGGGAGGACGTTGGGCCAAGAAGGTATTCTGCCTGGTGTTTGTCTGGGGAGTCGCCATGGTCGCCTTCATGATCATCTCCAACCACTACCCTCTAGCCATCCAGCCCAACCTCGCGTCCCACGTCAGCAACAGTCGGTTCTTACTGACCAAGCTGGTACTACCTCCAGAAGCCACAGTCAGCACCACCAAGGCCTCCGACTTCTCTCTGGAGCCTCATGTAGACAAGTCACCTGGATTGTCGGAGGCTATGATCATAGATCAGGTCCAGCAGCGACTTCCTAGTCTCCCCATCGCCTACTGGAACAAATACAAGAATAAAAACTTGTTCTACAAGAATGAAAGCTGTGCCAAATACCCTAGTATTTTCGAATTAGAGTTTAATAATATTTACTGGCAAACACTGCACACATCTAACGGTACGTTTCATTTTTATGGCGCTTATTACGACGTGAGGAAAATGAGCAAGATAGGTCCTTCAGTGAGAATACTTGGTATGATTAACAGAATAGAACCCACTGTGAAAACTTACTGTCAGTTTTGGTTTGAGAACCACAAAGAACCGGTGTTCGTCAAAACTATGGAGTATAAGTATATTTGGTATAAAAAATGGGGTAATTACAAACAAGGGATATTTCAGCCTTATTTGATCGCATGCCAAATTCCTCAAGCTTTCCATAAAATGGTGCCCGCCTCGGTGTCTGTTGTGGAAAAAATATGTGATATTGCCAGTAACAACTTGAGGGTAATTTACAACAAACCGGAGAAGAAAAAAGGTTTTGCGGTTTGTGTTAAGGGCTTAGACTTTCTGTACGACGACCTGTCAGTCAGACTGATAGAGTGGATTGAACTTCTCAGCGTTTTGGGAGCTGAGAAGATTTTCTTTTACGAACTTCAAGTTCACCCAAATATCAGCAAAGTCTTGAGATATTACCAATCCGTTGGAAAAGTAGACGTGGTTCCACTGACATTGCCAGGAGGTCAACCCAATATCCCGGGGTTCCAACACTTGTACCTCACCAAGAAGGTGAACCACAAGCGTCAAAATGAACTGATACCGTACAATGACTGCTTGTACAAAAATCTATATTCCTACGAATACATCGCTCTATTGGATATAGATGAAGTTATAATGCCTATGAAAGAAATGTCCTGGAGAGGTCTTATGGACACAGTTCTTCCTAAGGCTCTGGCAGTTAAGAACGAAACAAGGGCGTCATACAATGTACGGAACGTCTACTTCTTAGATGACCTTCTCCACGAACACGGTTGGTTCAAAGACATTCCTCGCTATACGCATATGCTGCAGCATGTCTACCGCAGCAAAAACTTTACGAAACCGAATCAATACGTGAAGTGTTTTCACAACCCAGAAAGAGCTTTGACACTTCACAACCATTTCCCACTGGCATGCTTGGCTTCAGGATGCACTTCCTACGCAATTGAAGTCGAAGATGCTCAATTACAACATTATCGTGCCGACTGTGTGCGGACTTTGAAGAAAACGTGTAACGAATATAGACATAATAGTGTAATCGACACCACAATATGGAAGTTTAAAGATGTTTTAATAGGTAGAGTAACTGACTCCCTTAGGACACTGGGGTACTTCAGTGTTAACGGTGGGGTTACTTGATTCATGATATACATGAACTACAGTGAAGTAAATAAGCCGTCCACTCTTAAAGTAGACTTTGAAAAACTGAATTATTTTATGTATTTATTTTAAACTAGATGTATTTAGACAAAAGGCTCTAAGTCAGAATTGGTGATTTAGGTTTTTGTAAGAAAAGCAGACTTACCTGTTCATTGACGAGCTTTGCTGGTAAAAAGAAAGAGAAAACCTATCGTATTAAAATGGGATATTTTACCAGAGTAATTGTTTCAATTGCGAAAAGTTATAGGTACTGAATCATTAAGAACAAAGTATTTGCTATTCCCAATGTATTAGCCATGATATATCTTAACTTTATTTTTTTCTTGTTGCTGCAATTTTGTGAGCTAAGCTAATAAATGTCCAAGTAAGCCAACTGCTATTAAAAAACTAGGTGCTGTGATTTTATCTGCCCTTTTAAACTGGTAATTTTGATTTGTTTTGACATGATTTTAATGTTAAACACTTGATTGCCAAAACAATATGTTCGCTCTTAAGAATTACATTTAATTTTAAGGTTATTTGCATAAATTAGGCCTAAGACAGCATATTTACCTTTCAGTTGATTTGATCACAGATCTGTGATTTGATACATCCATATTATCTTTTTAATTCATATTTATCTCCAAAAAACTATATTTTGAAGATCATACTTTTTGATTCCTCATTTTTTAGATTGGAAACTCGAATGATAAATTTAACTTTTCTAAGACCTTATTCATGTTTAATACAGTTGTAAGATTAAAGAGTGATTTAATAATCTTGTGGGATCATACGTCATACATGTGAAGGTGGGCTCATATTCTATTTCCATAAGAAATTACTAGTCCCTTCCTTAGAAGTAAAGAAAATATATTTAACTTGCTAGATATACTACAAACTAATTTATGCTTGGAAACTTGATACAGCAAACCCTTGATTATAAACTCCTTTGATAAAGAATGTTCTGTTAAAATCTTGAAATTACAACACCATTGTACTTTAGCATGTAGCAAGCTTCGAGAAGTTGTTTTTCTCAATTTTAATGTGAATAGCTCTAGATGGAAAAGTTGAAAATATGCATAAGGTATTTAAAATCAAAAACCATGTTATATTTTAGACTAAAGTATATTATCAATGACATGCCATATAAAAATAAATGTTATGTATACAAATTATGGAAATGTACCCATCTGATTTACGTTGTGTTTTTAAATTCATATTGTGTTAATAATATTAATTCACCTAGACCAGCGGTTCTCAAACTTTTTGGTCTAGTGACTCACCGCCACCTTAGAATTTCTTCTCACGACCCACATATAAAATAATATTGATAGGCTATAATTATTTATCACTAGCAGAATACCCTTCTTTGTAGACTTATAAATTGCTTATTGCAGTATACTCGACTCGTGCTTTGTGTTTTCAATGGGATAGGACACGGTTTGAGATAATTTGGTTCTTTTAAAATGTTTTACACACCTAAACAATAAAAAAAAGTATATGATAGAATATTCGCAAAAAATTTAAAAAAATTATAATAAACTAAAAACATAAGCTTCACTGTAAACAATCCTACTTTGACAGTTATCATTGTGTATTACAGCTTTTTGTTGCTGCTTGGTTCAAATTAGCTGTTGTCATAAATGCAAAAATATTAATGATAGACCAATTTTATCATGTACACTAAAAAACACACAACTATATGGAAACTGTGAGGATAATGTTATTGAAAATACAATATCTAGTCCAAAACACTATTATTTGTGAAACTTTATAAATTATTTAGAACTAAAGTTTAGGTGTATTATATTTACAAGATACTTAATCTGTATTGAATGTTGACAACTACTGAGGCATTTTCCATACATAGCCTATATTCCTGTATTTATTTTTAATAATAATGCTCTTTCACACAAATATTTGTTTTACTACTCAATAATTAGCTCTTAATTATACTACTGCATTTACAAAATTTATTTTTATCGGTGTTCCTCTCCACGTGTTTTAAATACCTATATATAACTACAACTCATGGGATATTTTTTATAATTCTGCAGTTTAATTTAAAGATGGAAATAATTTGTCTTAAAATATGTTGAATTTTCTTTATATTCTTAGAATAGTAGGGGTTTGCTGAAGGTTTTGGGCCCAGTAGGCCTTCTATTATAAATGTACCTAACTTAGGGTCACGTTTAAAATAAACAATCCAATATCTAGTATTTGCAAAAGATAATGATATAGGCTAATAAAAAAGAACCTGATGTAATAGCTAACACTTTCTTCATGAACTTCTTCATAAACAAATCTTTGTAAAGGGAGGTGTTTAAAAGGAATTGTTGACAATTTAACTTAGGCTTCCTGTTGATTTAAATTCTTTGCTTTGGGGGTCATAAACTGTCAAAACCGTTAGGTAGGCCCAGTGCTGCTTGACTCCCCAGAGCGTAAGAGTGATTCAGGGGAGGGGTGTAGTGGGCAGGATGTAATGGAGACTGATGGGTACAGTTTCTAAACTGAGCTACCCTAATATAAATTGAAAATATTGATTCGATTGTTCAACCCTCATTCAATTTTTTCATAATCAGCAGGTTTGGTTAGGTTAGGTAACCTGGTACTATTTTGGTGCTCGACAGACCGTTCCTGTATTAAACGTTTTTGAGTCATAAGAAAAAGATTTTTGTTTTTGCTCTTATCATGCGACCCACCGTATATGCTGCCGCAGTGGGTCGCGACCCATAGTTTGGGAACCGCTGAGCTAGACTATTACTTTATTAAAGTTGGTCTATGGCTTTCTGCTGGGATTATATGATGGTTTAGAATCATCGTGTTCATTGTAGTTGTATCCACTTAGTAACCAGGAAAAAGAGTCTTTATCATATTAATTTCAAAAATTTATACGGATTATATTTTCAACTACTGTTATTATTTTTTTCTGATTATACTACATTTAAAAGGCTTAGAAGTGTAAAAAAGATGTTATTGGATATCAAAATAAAAATATATGACTAAAAACTGAGAAAAACTATTTTGCTTTTATTCTTTAATGTAAAGACTGAGAAATAACATAATACTGATTGAAACAAAAGATTTAAAACTATTTTATTATCTTATTTAGTTAGAAAAAAGTCAAAAGTTTTAAGGAAGTATTTGAAAACTGCTCAAAAGTAAATTACTTTATCAATTTGGAATAGAAATATACCATAGAATTTAAGACTTTGTTTTATTTGCGTGATTTAGTATAGTTTGGTATAATGTAAATTTGAATATTGTTAGCGTAACCGAATTGTATGTAATATTTATTAAAATGATTATTTTAGTATACTTTCTGTGATTGTGTGATTTATTTTACCTTGTATCAAGAGAAATAAAGAATTTTAGAGTGCTGTACTCTAAGTTTTATTTACTAATATCCGCTGTACAAATCAAAATGTTATGAAATTCAAAGTGCAAACATAAAAATAAAAACAAATTGTAAAAAGTCAGTGAGTTTTACGTCAATTATGAAGAAAGAAAAGGTAGAATGTAATACTAACATTATACATTGAGATTTTTGTTAGTTGCAAGGAGTCACAAGTCTTCTCTTTAATACTGGTCTTTACCCTGAGAATTTTACCGGCACCAAAGCAGCCTTCCTTAATCTTAAACAAGCCTGGATGGTTCTAATGCTGTGTATTTATACATCAGTTATGTATTATCACAAAAATAATTGTACAATATGTCATACAACTATATAGCCATCCATACTCCTTTAAAAATTCAACTTGATACTTTCTTATTCCCGATATATAGAACTTTCATTGTGAAAAAAGCTCCTTTATACATCAGTAGGAAACCCCGTAAGCCTATTCCTTGCTGGAATAGAATCGGCAGAAGAAATTCATGTTTTTGAACAAAACCGAGGACTATTTAGAAATTCTCTGTCCATAATGAGTACCTAAAAATTTATTTTTGTAAACATGCTTACATGTTAACCAAAAAACACAATTTAATTTTAAAAAATACCAAATATCCTCTTAATTTATAAGAAAACTGTAAATTATGAGAAAAGTATAAGTCATCTTTTTCTTTTTATTTGAGCAACATAACAATAATGTTAAATTTGCATGGCAAATAGGGCATTTAATTTCAATCCAGTAATCTTACAAGAAAAGGAACAGAATTTTGTTAAAGTCAATGTTAGATTTGTTGGCAGAGATACATCTTTGGACTACACTGTTTAAAATTAAAAACTAGGTTTGTTAGTGCAGTTTACACACAAACTTTACTACTGATTATCTCCCATTGTTGTTACAGATGTTAGCCACTTGATCATGAACACATGCATGAACACACACATGTACATCTACTGTTCAGCGAATAGTGAATACTTACCTTGTTTAGCTTATCTTCATACACTTTAAACTTAGCACATTACTAAACTATTCTTATTGTTTTAAGGCACACGTAATTAAGTTTTAGAACAATAGAGCTAATATGTGAAAATACTATTATAATGTCTGATAACATTCATGTGTAAGAAGATGATTTCAAAGAGGTGAAAAACTCATTTCTAGAATGCAATGCTCCATTTTGGTTAGGTAAGTTATCTGTATACTTTGCTTTATGATCTAAAGTTTAGTTGACAATATAGGTAAACATGTGTTATTTGGCACGAAATTGGGTGGAATTTTATGAAACATTTAGTGTGCAATCTTCAAGGCCCCTTTTTGGGAAAATACATCAAGTTCTAGAATTTGAATTATTTGTTAAAGCCGTTCATAAAAAAGTTGCTGAAAATAATTTCTTTTCTGGTGGAGATTAAAAAAATAAAGTTAATACAAATTAAGGGGGGTATGAATTTTAATAGTAGGCTATGTAAATCTTTAAATAGGTTGTACATGTCAGGCGAAGCCTTCAGAATAATTTTCCTAGCTATGCTTGTATATTGAGCTCTTGTCAAAATAGGGACCACGCCAAACAAGCTAGTTCAAATTTGAGGCCTCTTCTTCTTTATATTATATAGCTATTCTAGCCGATTCTCACCCCGATTAGTATCTATAATAGCCAAAAATGACGTGAAGGAAAATGAACATTCCTGCCAAATATGAATCACGTTATGTAAGTTAAATTCTGTGGTTTAAGGTCTCCTTCGCACGTGAAGAGTAGAGTGTTGGGGCATATGGAGTGGTGGGGGTTTGGGGGTGGTCGCATGATAATTTTCAATGTTGTAAGCCTGCTGCGGTCGTTCGAGTCTTGTTTGAGGTGGTGACCAAAGTCAGGGAAACGTTACCTGTGGATCTCGGTGTGACTGAATGATAGATTGCCGAACTGATAGGGGAAGTCTCTATTAGACTATCAAGGACCCCTGGTAAACCATGGTAGTCTTAAACATGCTGAAACAAGCAATATTTCCTAAACTGTAATGAAAGACTCAATGACAACTTATAAAACACTGGTTCCCAGTTTTGTAGTACTAATTTTGTACAACCTTCTGCAAACTTCCTAAGCCACGTAAGCACAATTCATAAGTCCAAAAGTTTTATGAATACAAGTCTGTCAACTGGCGATGGATTTTCATAATGGTTAACACTTTGGATAACGTTATCATAGATCCCGATTCTTACTTGGTGGGAGCATTGATTTTCCCTCCCATGAATTTCTGTTATTATGACACGACTAAATATTACATAGGAGTGGACAGCTAGAATAGTAGTGGATGAAGTGCAGAACAAGGTGTTGGTCTCAGATTTGAAGGACTTTGCTTGGCTGTGAAGAGAGCTTGATAAAGACCCCCATTTATGGACAGCCCTTGTAATACTAGCACTTCCTTTTCTAATAGAAGTGGAAAATTTGTCAATAATAACACTTTTAGAAAGCTCACTTGGGAACAACACACTATTAATTTTATTTCAAAGATTTACCTAATCTCCTTTTTACTAAGGAGGATTAAGCGTTAGTTGTAGAGCTCGTGCGTTTCCTGGTGAAGCCTGGGGGTAGGTGGTTAGAGTGGCTAAGAACCGGTTTTGTATTGGCTTCAACCCTACCCCCTGCTTCACCAGGAAACGCACGAGATCTAGTAACTCAAACAGTATGCTTATGAATGGCATATTCATATTACAGATTTTTTCGCTTTAATCTGCTATATGGAAACATATTATAGGACAATTGTGCAGGGGTCCGAATCGGGTTTTCACATGGCAGAGAAAAGCATGAGAATTGTGTGTGACATCCCAAGCAGAATAACTAGCCTCACTTCAACATCTTAAACTTTAAAAATTTGTTATCTGCTAAAGAAAATGTAGGCTATCCTATTATACTAAATGTAGTGATTTACAAAGTTATAATACTAGGAAATGTAACTAGATGAATATTACAATCAGTAAGATCATCTAAATCTATCAGCAACCACAAATTTCTCTATATGAAACTTTGCTAATTCCTATATTTTTCCAAGCGAAAAGTTTTGACGAATCTGAAAATAGTTTGGTGAGGTGGCTCATGTACTTGTGGTTTTTATTTTGTTGAAGGATTTTGGAACAACAAATATCCAGTATAAAGTTTGACTATTGTTGTTTGATAAATTGCACTTTTGCTTTATAAACAAGATTCATTTTATAGAATTTATTTTGACATTGTCTATTGTACTGCTGTCACATAAAAAAATATTATAATGATAATTGACAATTTTCTTTCGCTACTATTAATGTCGGATAAATGAAACGTTGAGGTTAGTAGGGTTATTGCATTTTATACATCAAAGTGGAGATATAAAAATACAATAATTAGTATTGCTGGCACACACTTTGGTTCTTAGAAAAAAGACATACAGTAGACTCCCTCTTATCCGTACTCCTCGGGACCGTTGCCAGTCTGGATAATGGGTTTTCTGGTTAAACCGACGTCCCCAAAACTTGTTAAAACGGACCGTTTAAATGCATACTGCATACAGTATTTGACTTAAATTTAGGAGAGCATTGTATTTAGACGCGTGATCACTGGTCCCAAATCTTTCCCACAAGAACAGTCGTTTTAGTACTGGCCACTTCCTGCCGATCTAGTCCGGTTAAACCGATATGCTGATAAAAATTGTCCGGTTAGAGAGATGTATGGTTAAAAGGTGTCCGGATAAGAGGGGGTCTACTGTATCGTATAGTCAGCAATCCTGAAATAGTTTTGTTTTGTTTAACAGACACATGAAGATGAATAAGATAAGAAGTTGTTTTCATGGGGCATTGATTTGGGGCTCAGTTTTGATCACGGCTGCCTTTATCATCATCATTACACAGAAAACCAAAATAGGCAACTTCTTTGATGAAAGCAGTGAAATATGGTCACATTCATCACCCAAAATTGACAGATCTCCAACTTTCACTAATTTGCAGGTTATTGATCAAATTGAACAATATGTACCTAGTCTTCCAATTGGTCTTTGGGAGAAATACAAAGATCGTTTTTACAATAATGTTACATGTGTCAAATATCCCTATGTCTACTATTTGAAATTTAATAACAACTTTTGGCAAGTTTTGGACACTTCTAGTGGTATTTTTTATCTTTATGCAGCGTATTATGATAACAGAACTTTAAGCAGGATCGGGCCTTCAGTAAGAATCTTAGCAATGGTTGACAGAGTTGATCCGAATGTAATAATTTACTGCCAGATGTGGTTCCAAAACATCAAAGAGCCTGTGGTGGTAAAGGTGGCCAAGTACAACTACATATGGCATAAATCATGGGGCTCACCTGGACCTGGGGATTTACATCCATATTTAATGACATGTCCGATTCCTCGAGAATATAGGAATGAAGTACCAGATTCTGTTGGTATTGTGGAGGAAAAATGTGACATGTCATCTAACAACTTGAGAGTTATCTACAAGAAACCTGAGAAGAAGAAAGATTTTGCAGTTTGTGTAAAAGGTTTGGACTTTCCCTACCAAGATGTATCAGTAAGGCTGATAGAATGGATCGAACTGCTCAAAGTGTTGGGAGCTGATAAAATTATCTTTTATCAGTATCAGGTTCACCAGAACATAAGCAAAGTGCTCAAGTTTTATCAAGAAGAAGGAAATGTTGATGTGGTTCCCATAACACTACCTGGATACCAACCGAACATACCCGGTTTACAGCACGAGTATTTGAAAGACCATTCATTCCGCATTTTAAGAAATGAGCCCATCCATTTCAATGACTGCCTATACAAGAATTTATATTCCTACAAGTACATTGTACTAATGGACTCTGACGAGGTTATAATGCCTAAAAAGGAATCATCTTGGGAAGGACTTTTACATTCACTTTCTCCAGGAAAAATTAAGGACTCTTATTATGTACAGAATGTTTACTTTTTTGATGACCTGAGACAACATGGATGGACTGAGGAGATCCCACAGTATATGCACATGCTGCAACACGTCTATCGCAGCAGAAACTTCACTATGCCAGGTCACTACATAAAAGCCTTTCATGATCCAGAAAGAATATTAACCCTGCACAATCATTTCCCTGTAGAGTGTTTAGGACCTCAATGTGATACTTATGCAATAGCCACCGATGTTGCACAGTTACAACATTATCGTGCAGACTGTGTGGGTGAACTAATGGAGGTTTGTGATGAATATAAAAACAACATTGTTAAAGATGCAACGATTTGGAGATTTAAAAATATCCTGGTAAATAGAGTGTCAGCTACACTCAATAAGTTAGGCTATTTTTAAGAAAGATTTTTACTATGTAAATATGAGATATTAATCATAGTGATGAAAAAAAAAAAATATAAACAACGTTTTTATGAATAACAAACACTATCTAAAAGTAGGCCTATTTATTATAATGTAACATACCAGTGATGTATTTGCGAATTAATGAAATGATTATTTAATGTGTTATAGTAATAGTAATAATGATAAAATGTAGTAATTTAATTTGTTTTGTATATATTTATTAAAAATAAATAAATTATGTACTGTCACAATTTTATTGTTTTTACATGATGTTATGTACAAATTAGGAGTGAAAATCAATTGTGACAATCAGGTTGATTTTTGTGCCTAAGGTAGATTTGTTGGTGATGTCAATTTATTGGTATTTTGCATAGTTTTTTAAATTTGTAATTTTACAATTTTAGTTACTGTACAATCTAAAAAATGTGGCTACCATGGGGTATCAAAGGGGGGGGGTCTTGAGCCCCCCTAGCCTATATTGATGGACACCCATGTTTAGATAATTGTGATGTCATTAATTTAATAGTGTGTTATGATGTAGCATAGACAAATAGAGTAAATATAGACTGTCAATGGAAGGTTCCGCGATGTGCTGCTAGGAGTTCCGTGTAGTTACAGCGCACACCGCTGCAGACTTTATAGGCTATTTGCCGTATGCTACCAGCAGACGCTGAAGCGGTGTGCGCCGTAACTACATGGTACTCCTAAAGGTGTGCGCCGGAACATATGCTAACCGTAGCACTTCTGACGGTCTATATTTATTCTATTTGTCTATGAATGTAGCCAGTTAGATGCAATGATTTGAATTAGTTTAGGTAGTAAAAATGAACTGTATCAAACAAAAGAAATACCTAATCTAGTAATGAAGTAACACTTCACTTGAAAATAACTTTGTTGGTTTTAGCAAATTTTACATTAAATAAATATTGAATTTGTATGCGTCCAAGGGTTGGACGACTTTCATGATATGCCGGGGATTGAACCTGTCCCTTTCGCACCAAAGTCCAGAAGGTTAACCACTAGGTTAACAACAAATCCAATTGTCAATACATTTCAGAAGATTTGACTTAAAAAAATGCATTTTCAATGGGCCTTTTGTTGCGTTGTCAATTGTCATACAAAAACAATTGTTAAATGTTGATCAGCTGTTCTATTATTGTATTGGGGGTCATTGTTATTATCTCTTTACATATTCAACTCAGAGAGACAAAAGACTAATTATTAGCATTGAAGACTTGTTAAAAGTTTTTCAAGCAAGTAGAGACAGATTCATAATAAATTGGTTCTTTTTTCGATGACTATACAACAATTTATAAAGTTGACAATGATAAATAGACTTTGAGTATTGAGTCTAGATGGTCATGAAAAATAACCAGGTAGATGGAAAAAAAACAAAATGCTGTTAGCAAAATTTAGGTAAAATATGAAACTGTTGTGGGCTTAAACAGAAGGGATTTAGGGGTTATAGCTCTAACAATCTAAAAATTGGTGTCTTAATGAGATGTCTTTTTAGCAAACTTTAGATAAACAACATTTAATAAATATACAGTTAATTACCTTTGACTGCATTTTACTTTTTGAAATCAAACACTCTGACCGTATTCAGCCTACCAAATATACATTAGTTTATCGAACAAGTATAATTGTGACAGATCCTCTATTGATATTTGTGTTTTAGGGGAATACAAGAGATACTTGATAAAAAATGTTCCTGCTTTTACCATTGTCATGAAGGAAAACTTAAGTATAAAGGACCCTAGCTTGGAGTATCAATATAACTCTGAGCATAGAAAATAAGTTACACATTCAAAACCACAATCCTTACTTCCTGGATTATTAGAATAAAAAAAATAGATTTAATTGCAACAAAGAGCTTGTGGGAAAAATAAACTATAATAATGACCAACAGAAAATAATATATTATTATCTCACTCAGGTATAAATAAAATTAATAAATAAGCCAATAACTCACAGTATAAAATATCTTAAAGTTACAATAAATAATCTACTTTTAAAAAGTATCTTGCAGGCTTGAGTCTAACCCGAGGAATGCTTGCAGCTTAAATAAAAATATTGCTTTAGGTAGAAATTGAGCAAAAAGATTGCAAAAGCTAAAAAACTGGAATGATAGTTGGTCCCTTGTCCCGAATCAGTCACCTCTAAACCTAAGAGTATTCAACGTTTGTACAAGAAGTGCAGTGTTGTTCGGTTTCCAAGGCAGTTTCCTATGTCTTGACGGTGGGTTCTACCCACTTGTACGACCCGTAGTACTTAAAGTTGGCTTTTTTCAAGAAGTCATTGCTTTGTTCAGGTCCTCGAGATCCATATCTGAAACACAAGAAATTAAGAATGTGAATTTTACAAAGTATGAAATGATATAATGCATAATATGTCTATGACAAGTCATGTATGATTTAGGATGCACAGTGGTTTTTAATGTTTCCAGCAGGTGTCAAAAACACTGTAGTATTGGTATTGGTGTATTGGTTTAGCATGATTATAATAATACTTTGTTTGAAGTTGTTTCAAGATGATTGAAAAAGGGTTTAGAAATCAACTTCTTACTCATTTTAGCATGTTTGTATTGTTTTTAGCGAATTTCCCATATAGGGATTAAGCTTTTACCATTGGTCTCATGGCAAGAAATGGTAAGACCCATGACTGATTTCATTTTTGATTTCCCCAGAGGCCAAAAACATCATCCATTCACAAATTCATATAGGCATATATATGTAGGTCCGTTAGCAAGATAATTCAAGAAAAAATAATCCGATTTTTATGAAATTTGACACAAACGTGTAAACTTACATTTATTTGATCAAGTTCGCTAACCAGCATTATCAGACTATAGGACGAGGATTGTATAAGGAATTTTATGGGGTAAAAATTAGGTTTTGACCCCCAAAACATAAAATTTTCTAATTTATTTTAAAACTATTTCATGGAGCTTGAAAAACAAATAATTTAGTATACCTGAGCGTTGTTGTAGGCCTGAGGGTTACAGAGAAAGTTAAAAAAAAATAACTGAAAATAATTTTGAATCCCTATGTTATTCTTTTGTAGAATAAATAAACTGCTGTAGTTTGCTTGTTTATAGGTATATCTTGATCAAATTTGGCAAATTAGTTTTCTTCATACTAAACTATCTACATTTCAATTAAAAAATCCAAAAACACAATAAACAATAAACTTATTACCTACCCTGTAACAGCAAAGCTAAGTACTCATTAAAATCAATTTTATTGTAAAATAGGAATAACGCTGACACTTTTAAGAAAATGTTTTGTGTAAATCAAGTTGAGTAAATGTAAATCTGCTTAGTCTGCAGGTTTGCTGTGGTGGGGGTATTTTATAATACTATCTTATTTACAAAAGGTTTGCTTAAAATTCCATTTGATAATTTTTTATTCACTACGCATTGTTAAAACATACATTTTTCAAGTATTTTGCTTCCTTATTTTACTTCACCACTTTATGAGGTGAAGAGGTTTGTTGTTAATGGCTAACAAATGTCATAGAGAGCTCTTTATTAATCTTGTTTTTAAACTGGGAATGTTAAATCTATCTGACCAAATAATTTTTAATCGAGACATGTGCAAAAATTTTTAAACGTGCGTTTTAATGTCCCTGGCCTTTTATTTCGTAGATACTGTATTTGTAGTATGATTATGTGTTTTAATATTTTTTGGGACGGGGGCAACATGTTACAAACATTTATCTGGTTTTATTTAAATATGTTCTAGGTATTTTTTAAATATTTTTTAAAGTCTCGAAATTCTCGACCATCATGTGTCCCTAGGATACATTTTTCAACTTTCACGCTGTTTTTAGACTTATTATTCATGCCGAAATATATAATGCCATATTTTTATGTCATCAACAGTTATTAAATTTACAAAAAAAGGAGCATATAACAATTTTGTTTTAATTGGGAAAAGACTAACTTGACAAAATAAGCCTATCTCTTGATTTGATGTCCCGACCATAATGGCAAAATTTGCAACTTTGGAACACGACAGTGGCAAGCCCGGTGGCGATAGCGTCAGTTGGTTTTAGAGACTGGTTCTGGATGTGCGTTAGTTTTATTGTGCTGGTGGTTTTGCAGTAAAAAAGGAGGTACAAGATTAATAAAGGTAAGTTTTGTTTTTTGTAATTTTTGTGTTTCCACGACCGTACGTAGTCATTTGGCAGACATGGTGTTAATTTTTGTTGATATGATATTTTAATTGCTACGTTAACCTAGAAATGCAATTTGCCTCCTCAAACATGAAGTTAGGGCTGCCACCATAACAGAGCCAAAAAATACGTGATATCACGACCAGGGCATCACGACCATCACAAGTTTTTTACAAAATGGCCCTAAAACTAAATGTATTTACAGCAAAACATATTTATAAAAATAACATTAACTACAGTAGGACCTCAATATCTCGAATCTGAAGGGGATATGATAAAAATTTGAGTTATCAAGTTTTTCAAGTTAGTGAGGTTCGAGTTATGAAGGTGCCATACAAAAAAGTTCGAGATACTGAGGTGTTTGGGCCTGACAGTGATGTAACGTTGCGGCCTTTATAACTCGACTTTTACATCCTAAACCTTTATAAATCGAACTCAAACTGTATTTATACGTACTGAAGAGTAACTGTGGAAGCAAAATAAAACAATTTTAATGCACATAAAGTACTTTATTTATTATTGGGCAATAAGTTTGGAAATAAGTTTCATAAAGTACATACGTAAAAAACCTGTTGAATAACAAAGAAAAATTATTTTAAATACTGAACAAAACACAAAACAATACAAATTCTAAACAAAATACAAGTTTAACTTTTCAAAATGTAGTTAAGTAGGCCTACTGAATCTAAACTCGACTTTTACATCCTAAACCTTTATAATGTAAATCGAACTCAAACTGTATTTACCCACGTATTGAAGAGTAACTGTGGAAGCAAAATAAAACAATTTTAATGCACATAGAGTACTTTATTTATTATTGGGCAATAAGTTTGGAAATAAGTTTGATAAAGTACATACGTAAAAAACCTGTTGAATAACAAAGACAAATTATTTTAAATACAGGTACTGAACAAAACACAAAACAATACGAATTCTAAACAAAATACTGTACAAGTTTAACTTTTCAAAATGTAGTTGAGTAGGCCTACTGAACCTACTTTGGCAAAACGGGATGAAAGAAATCTTCAATTCTTGCTTGTTTACCTTTTATGTTTACGGCATCCAATGCTATGTCCAAGTTATTGATGCAATTCACAACACTATCACTCATCACTGACTTTTTCTCAAAAAAACACCGAATCACATGAATTGCAGCACGAGCATCTTTAAGAGTTGGGTCTGGCTGTGTTGATTCGCCCTCATCCTCCTCTCCCTCGTCTGAAGAAACTGCATTCGAACTCGAACCTCCAGCAACCGATGTAATGATGTCTGCGTCAGTCAGCTCCCCGCATACAGCAACGTCGTCGTCAAAGTCTACGAAGTCCACGAACGCCAACTCTTCAACATTCAGAGCCTGTGCTGCTACAGTCCATTCAGCCGGTGTCTCATTTATGTCCGCGATAGAAGGTTCATCCTGTACTTCATCCAGTTCATTTCCCGTGGTGTGTTGGGGTACCTCAAAACCACATGCATTAAAGCAGTTTTTGATTGTCACCGAAGTCACACAGTTCCAGGCTTTTGACACCATCCATAGTGCATCGAGTAGATTAATCTGCGTCATTGACTCGTTGTCCATATCCCTCAAAAATCGTTTGACAACCTCTCTTCTGTAGTTCACTTTAAAGTTTTTAATGATCCCTTGATCAAGTGGTTGTAGCTTGGAGGTTGTGTTTGGTGGTAGGAATTGTACTTTGACGTTCTTCAGAGGAGGTATGTCCTTGTGTGCTGAGCAGTTGTCAATAAAGAGAAGTATTTTTCTATTCTTCTTCTTCATGGCCTTATCGATATTTTTCAGCCAAGAACTGAAAAACCCAGAAACCATCCAAGCTTTATTATTTGCTTCATACTCTGTCGGCAAACTTTTCACATTCTTAAAACAGCGTGGATTTTTTGCCTTTCCTATGACAAGGGGCTTGAGTTTGTCTGTTCCGTCGGAGTTAGCACAAAGCAACACAGTTATTCTAACTTTGCTCATTTTCCCACCACTACATGAATCACCTTTAAAAGACAGGGTTCTGTCTGGCAGACACTTAAAAAAAGGCCAGTTTCGTCGGCATTGTAAATGTTTTCTGGCAAATATGACTCAGTCAGTTTTTTTAGTTCTGTTTTCCATTCGTCACACACATTGGAGTTCACAGAAGCACTTTCTCCACAAACCTTTCTGAAAATAATTTCGTTTCTTTTTTTGAAGTTGTGCAACCATCCGTTGCTGGCGCGGAAGTCTTTCTTTCCTAAGCTCTCTGCATATTGAATGGCCTTCTCTTGCAAAATCGGTCCTGATACAGGGATGTTCTTATCTCGACACTGTTTCAACCACGTTAAAACACATTCGTCCACGTCTTTAAACTCACCGCTTTTACATCTCTTCTTATTGGTTAGTCCACCTTCAGCCTCATACTTTTCCCGGTTTTTCATAATTGTTGATAAAGTGTTAGGCGGAATTCCGAACTCCTTAGCGATTTCACTTTTTTTCTTTAATCCTTCGTCAACTGCCTTAATAACTCTTCTTTTTTCATCGTGTGTCAACGTTTTGCACTTACGCTTAACCGACGACATGACGTCCGACGCGCACAAAATTATCTCAACAACTGGCAGACTACAGTACGTATCCAAACAGACACAGGAAGCAACCACCGGAAGTTGGATTTTCACGTCTCGACAGGAATCAAAACACTACTGACTTGCACTGTAAGGCAAAACTTCGAATTATTGAGGCGCATTCGTGCGAACTTCGACTTATAAAGGTAAACTTCGAGTTACTGAGGCTCGACGACGGGAAAATTCGACTTATAGAGGTGGAATATTACCGTTCAAAAGTTGTTAAAAATCGACTTATTGAGGTTGTGTATTTAGAAACTTCGACTTATAAAGGTACTTTTAACATTATGATTAATGTGGATTTCAAGGGGATTTAAAAAAAATCGAGATATTGAGGAATTCGAGATATTAAGGTTCGAGTAATTGAGGTTCTACTGTATTTTTAATATTCATTTTTACGTCTGTTATGGTAGTGACAGAAATTTTAGTTTTTCCAATTAAGATGCTATATTAATAAACAAACACCTACCAAAGATATTGCCTTACCATGTATTTATTATGAAACTTAAAATGCCAATGAAATAAAAAAAAAATTAAAAAAAACTTTTTGAACAAAAAAATTCTTGTGCTTTTTTTGAAAACGTATGTTAAATTTTCAAACACATAACGTTAGGAGGCTGTCCTGGGAAATCACAAAAACGTGGCAAAACAGTTCAATAGCGTTTGGATTATAGGATTCAGTTTTCTTCTAGTAGAGTAGTGTACAATAAAAAATACTTTAACAATTTTCAGGAGGTGTATTCAATGAATGATTTAAAAAATGCTCTAATAAGGTACTTACTTGTAGGGTAGAGGTTTGATCTTTTCATTTTCGATTTTGTGCAATAATGGAGTGAAGATTCTCCAGGCTTCGGAAAGTTCATCCGAACGAACAAAGTGCATCTGAGTGCCACAGAAGACGTCAAGGATAAGTCTTTCATAAGCATCAGGCAACCTTGCTCCCTGCAAAAATTATTAATTGTATTGGGTTTTCAAGCAAGCCAAATCAATCCCAGCAAATAGTAAATGTGACAACGGTCTTAAGGTCTAACGATCTTAGGTTGAAATTTGTCATTTAACAACATATTAAAAATGAATATTTCTGCATGCTGTGCCGATTATCACTTTTTGACCACATTTCACAAACCGTTTGAAATACAAATATTTTGTCAGTACAAAAGTTAAAGAACACAAAAATACATAGTTTTTGCCATGACAATATTTGTTGTATTGTCCAAAGCATGCACGAATGTTGGTTTCTGATATGTTGTCACTAGGTACTAGTCCTGCAAATTTTCAACATTTCGGGAATTATTTCCAGGTAGACATGTATTTTTCCCTAAAATGACTGGAGAGAGCTAAAATACTTGGCGAGAGCTTCAATTTTATTTCATAACGACTTTTATTGCTACTGTATGACCAGACTAATCCTCGCATATCGATGGAAACCAGCTAGAAGATTAGTGAATGAAGTAGGGGACATAACGTTGGTTTCAGAATTGGACTACCTTGCTTGGTTGCAAAGAGAGCTTGATGGGGACCTTAATTTTCAAACAACCCTTGTATACATATTTCCCGCAAGAATATTGTAAGCGAGTTACAATTGAGTAAGTCAAATCGGATTGGGAGTTGTAAATGGTGAAATGATTTATTAATTTTGTATTCTCATAATTGTGATTAGTTTTCTTTTCTTTTATAAAAAATCTAGAATTTCTTTTTAGAAGAATAGAGATTCCAAGATCTAAACGGACATTTTGAAACAAACTGTTTAATCTTTTTCCTGGATTTTCCATTGTATATTGTGATCTCAGTTTGTGTTTTAATCTAAATGCCAAACATATTGTGAAAGTTTTTTCGCTTGTGATTTCTCCCTCAAAGCAGAGAGAAGTATAACATACAGCGGAATTATTCAATGGTACACTTAAGTGGTGTCTAGCGCCAGTGCTGGTGTCTAGAGCAATGGCTCCCCTCGCCCTCATGTACTGCAACGCTCACGGTGGAGGGATGTCCCGTGCCCTGTGTGATAGGATTTTTCGCACAGCTCTTGCCGTTCAGGCGCTTCCTTGCTCGTCACAAGTATATTTACCCAATTGCACAGTTGTTGCCCCATAAGCTCGTATCCTCTGTATCTTACTCCTCTGTGCTCAAAGGAATAATTGATTCAAAAATTGTTCCTCTATCACGATTAGTTTTTAATTTTAACCTAATAACTTCGAGTCTTAGAAAAGTTAAATGAATCTAAAAAGGATTTCTGATTTTTATACGTTTTTATATATAGGTAAACTCTAATATAATAAATACTTACAGGACAGTAAATAAATATATATGAAGGAAAAGATGTTACAATGACAATTGATTTGGACTAGTAATGATCAGGCTCAATTGGAGAATGTTTATTTTACTATACTAGTAGTGTAGTATATTAGCTACCAACTTAGTAAACTTATATTAATACCTTGAGACTATAACTATTGTTGTAAAGGTTCAGAGCTTACCCGATATCTACTGCCATAGGTAAGGTCAAGTTCAGTTTCCTCCATGTCAAAGGTCATTCCTGGAGTTTTGGTCATCATTTTGATATACACAGCTTCACCAGGCTGGACTCTGATGACCAACTCATTCCTCTTGGTCTTTCCATCAAAGATATCACCGGGAACATCGTTATATTGGATGCGGACCTCTGCTTTACGCTCATTGAGAGCTGAGGAAAATGATACAAATTAATGAGTTATGAGTTTAGGAATTTTAATTAAATGGGAGAAAAGAACTTTTGGCAAGTGAAATAATTCAATTTATTTAATCCTTTAAAGACTCCCGTACAATTATTAAAACCTTGTTTTCAGCAAATACCTAAAGCTAAAATCTGTCTTTCCTCGCAAGAACCATGAATTTGAAAATCAATCTGTGTCCTCTATAAACAGTCAAAAACATTCCTATCAATATTAGTCTAGGCATATTAGGAAAGTTAGCGGAAAGTTTAGGTACAGTCCTATTCACCACATATCTTTAGGTTTTTTGGGTTGTTGAACACGAATATGGGGTTTGCTGACAGATATTATGCCCGGAACATTGTTTCATTGTTTATTTGGTGAAAAACCTTAAAATTTGGCCACTTTTTAGGTTTTTGGGGTAAATCTCTGTAATTATGGGTTTTTGAGAAGACCCTGCTTTGTAAAATTGAAGAGGACAAAATTTACTACAAGTTTCCTATGTAATATTTGTTTCTACAGCAAACCGTTACGCCACTAGAGAACGCTAAAAATGGCCAGAAGTACCAAAAATGAAAATAAACGCTAACCGTTTTACATTAGGTTTCCATGGAAACAACCCATGTTACGATAATTTCAACTATTTAGTATTTATTCATGATAATGAACTGAAACACACTTGATAAATCTGCGCCAAGATGTATGACTGGCTGCAGGAACATTTCCCGTTCCCACATAACCCCCATTTATTTTCTCTCAGCATAGGGGTTGTTGCTGTCCACAGGGCTGACTGCTATAATGCTTGAGAAAAAAGGATGAAAGACATTGAAATAGTAAATTCAAGAAGAAGTAGAATAACTTTTAACTTCGGTAACGTCAAATTCAGACGAGCAGACCGAGTGCAGCCACTTGCCATAATGAACAACACGATGAAAGTATAGAGATTATTACCCATAAACTCCACCACATTGTTTCAACGTATCTGGTCGCTAAGAATTTTGATGAAGAACTAGAACACTTCTTGTCCTACGATCTGGGTCCATACTCTTTCTCGTTGTTTGATAATAACGGTTTGCGAAAAGGAACCAAATCAAATATTTATAGGCCTAAAGCACTTATCCCCATAGAAAACAAGCACTTCCATGGGCATGTGCAGTATGTAATTGATGGTGGGTTTCTACTACACAAAAGTGTATGGCCAGAGCATCAACCTTTCTCTAAAATATGTAACAGATACATTGACAACATTATAACCAAATATAGGGCTCAGACAAGTTGTTTTTGACGGTCATCCTGAACACCCGCAAGGTGAAACAAAAAGTTCCAAACAAATGAAAAGAGCAATAAAAACTACTTCTGCAGACATTCTCTTTGATGAAACTATGACCCCAACCACAACGAAAGAAAAAAATCTCCTAGCCAACCCTAATAACAAGTAAATAATAATTTCCATGATAACACGTAAGATGATCTCTTACAATATATCTTGGAAACAACATCTGAAGATGGTGTCACACATTGATAGTGACAGAAGCGCTGTCATTGGCTAGCAGTAGCACTAATAAGAACGTTGTCATTGTTGGAGAGGATGTTGACTTATTGATTATTCTAATCAGTTTGTGTAAGGAAAAAAGTTTTCTTCTTGAAGCCAGGAAAGGGAAAAACTTAATCGACAACATACTACTCCTTGCTGTAAAGAACAAAACTGTAGATGAGAATATTCAAAGATAAACTTGGTCCTCAGTTTCTTACCCTTGAGGAAGCCTTAGAAGCAAATGAGGTTGTGGAAAGATGAAGATGATTTTTCTCTCCTCTTAGGCCCACCAAAAAAAGGATGGATGGAATGCCAACCTTCAACCCGGAGAGAGTGAATTACATGATCCTGCCAACCAAACATATTGTTTTTCATGAGGTTATTACCATTAATAAAAACAGATTTTCACAATTTTTCCCAATTTAATCTTAAAAGACAAATATTTCTTTCAGGTGGAGGCCTGTGGTCAGTGGACACACTAGTTTGTCTATTTAGTATTTTCAAGTGTGTTTCAGTTTATTATCATGAATAAATAGTTAAAATTATAGTAACGCGGGTTGTTTCCATGGAAACCTAAAGTAAAATAGCAGCATTTAGCGTTTGTTTTCATTTTTGGTACTTCTGGCTTTTTTTAGTGTGCTCTAGTGGCGTAACGGTTCGTTGTAGAATCAAATATTATATAGGAAACTTGTAGTAAATTTTGTCCTCTTCAATTTTACAAAGCAGGGTCTTCTCAAAAACCCATAATTACAGAGATTTACCCCCCTAAAAAAAGTGCCCAAATTTTTAGGTTTTTCACAAAATAAACAATGTTCCGGGCATAATATCTGTCAGCAAACCTCATATTCGTGTTTAGCGACCCAAAAAACATAAAGAAATGTGGTGATTAGGACTGTACCTAAACTTTCCGCTAACTGCCACTTTAATCCTAATATGCCTAGCCTATATAAGTTGATTTGTCTATATAAAACTCAACTGCCTGTAACCAACTGCTGCTGTGTGCTCTAGAGAGAGTGAGGTACTGTCTATGACATAGTGATCTTTGTGTCCTCTAAGGGTAGACCTGAGGGAACAGTTTGGGCCGAAAATAATCACTGAGCGAAGCCTGGGTCGGGTCATTTATGCGTGTGAGCTGCTCGGTTTTCGAGTCAAGCTGATCCAAGCTTTTATTTTTGCGGATCGTAGAAAGCAAATCAAGAACTGATGATTTGCTGTGGTTACAGTTATATACACTAACAACCACTTAGCTAAAAGATTCGCCCAAACTCTGATGATTCTCGATGATTCGAGGTGTATGCCTAAACCAAGGATTATGAACACCTCACTATGCCCCAGTGGTTGTAGTATATCGCTACAAACACACATGTCACCAATTATTAGCCACACAGGACGGGAATCGAACCCGAGCAAACGAATGCCACTGGCCAAGTGACACAGGCCCTAGCCTGTTCGGCTATCTGTGCTTGGAGAATCAGAATATGGAGTAAAAACTGGTATATAAGCTGACGTCAACAATTGCTAACAGATGGCGCACCCGATGGCGCTACAACCTAGTTGTTCAATGCGTTACTAGGGAGCAGCACTAGTTAGCCACGGACTATTTATTTACACAACATTTTTCAGCTGAACCACAACAGTGATCATAAATAGTGTCACTGAGGCTTTGCTGACAAGTAGGTTTTTTTCCTAAAAAGGCTATATTAAAATAGCCTTATCAAACTAAATCAAGGTTAAATTCAATATTACATTGTAAACTAGATGTCTTTTGTTTTATAAGATTTTGGTTTCAAATAATGCTATCAGAACATTACAACTTATAAGAAAACTTGGAAATTTACAACAAAAACACAGTTTTATTTAATATTTACTACAAATAAATCCCAAACCTTTTCTTTGTTATATTTGTTTTTGTCTCCTTATTCCAAATTAGCCTGATTAATAAAATAAAATACAAAATAGTGAAAACAATACAGTTACAAATCAACAACAGGTAATGTAAATAAAAGGCAAACAAGAAAGTCTTACAGAATACAAATTATTGTCCCAGCACTCAAAGGGTTAGTTCAATATTTTGCAAAATAACCTGATTTCGCACTACCAAAATTGTTAACCCCACCCCATCTGATCCGAAGCAAAAACGCTTGACGTACAGACCCCTACGTATAAGATACATGGACAAGCCAGTACTGACTGCACAAAAATAAAGTGCAGACAGCGGGTTTGAGTTTTGACATTAAAGGCAATTCAAAATGCAAATTGAACAGTGTACGTTCTGATTTTTTACTTTATATTTTTTTACTACCTGTCGCTAGAAAGCCCTACTAAGTTATCCCAACAAAAACAACTAGGTTAAAAATCAAACCTTGAAACTTGAAACATATTTGAATTTCCAACGACAGTTTGACAATGGTTTACTACAAGATTAACACACTGACTATCCTGCTATTGACCCAGTTATGCAGCAAATGAGATAAAATATTTCATAGTTATGCACGGTGGTAAAAAAAATCTCAAAACAGGATTTTGAAAAACTCATTCTACACCAGTGAGATTAAAAATTTGTCTATCAGTCAGTACTGATAGACAAAATTTGAAATTTAGTCAATATAAAAATGAAATGATTGATTTTACCTTTACCACATCGAAGAATAAACGGAACATCGTCCCACCGTTCATTCTTGATGTGCAGAACGGCCATAGCGTAGGTGGGAGTAGTGGAGTCTTTGGGGACAGTTGGGTCATCCAAGTAGCCTTCTTTAGCTTCTCCTTTTCCATCAGGGTCGCCTATGTATTGACCCAGGACTACATCATCCAAACTCAATGCTGGGATGCACTTCAACACTTTTACCTGGAATTGATTGGAGATTTAAATAAAGTTTAGGCTCAAGTATCTTAATCTGTACACTAAAGACTATGTAGCAACTAATTACAGTATTGAATGCATGTAAACCTATAAGTACACTACCCTTAGGAGTGGCTTCCAACTACAGGGGAGGGATTCCACTAGTATGTCCAAGGATTACCCAAGCCCAAGTTTGAGCCTCAAAACTAAAAAAACCCATTCACAGAATCAAACTGAAACTTAATTATTTTCTCTTGGTTAGTAATATTTCTTCTTTCTTTTTGGAAGAATCCTCTTTGCAAATGCGGAGAGCGAATAAGAGTGCATTAACCATGCTTTACAGTGTGTCCAATCATAGTCATGGTCAATAGTCATAGTCATATACCTGATAATACTTTGTCTATGATTGAGATCAACTCTGCAATTTGGTGTGACTTTTTGATTGCCCTCCTGAAGATTTTTAGTTTACCCGGGTGACTGGTGTTAGTGGTGAGGGATTATGTCCATACAATTGATAGACAATGTGTATTCTGGACCATTGCTATTGGTGTATTTCAATTCAATGTACAGTTTTAAGGCCTGACCTCAGGAATGCTAATATGACAGATATCTCCCCACAGAGATACTATACAGAATGGTTTTGGTGGGATATGTTGTTGATGTTAAAGCAATCACAATCATTACAAAACAAAGACCCAATCAGCTTAATGGTGACCAGGTGTTCCTGGTGAAAACGTGGATTCAAGACAAAAAATTCCAGTTGGATTTCAAAATAAGGGTACGTTGTAAAAAAGGCAGTAAATCACAAAGACTCTGATGGGGATACTAGGGTGAGGGTGACTGAAACTCAAAACAAGGAGTACTGCAAGGTGCCTAAGGTTTGTACTGGACAGTAAGAGCACCTGCTGATACTTTATGTTAAGTTTATGTGACGTAGCACGTGCCATGTTAAGGTTTGGGAGGCTACAGACGCTACGGTTAGGGAATCACGCTATAAGGCCCCATCCTAGCTGGGCAAAGACAGTGACGTGACCATTGACCAACACGACGGACGGTCGCTGCTGTCGGCGGCAAAATGTGTATCCACACTGAGCGGCGCGACATGGCGACATGTCATGGGCTGAGGCAGTTATGGTGGATGCCGCTCTGTCGCGTCGCCGGTGTAGCGCTACCAAATACAAACGTGTTTGTATCTTGAAGTGCTTGTAGCACGACCGACGGGCGCGACGTCGCTCTTGATGCTGAGCTAGGACACTCCCATTACTTACCATGTGTTTGTATCTGTCGCTCTTGCCGTCCAGCTAGGACGGGGCCTAAGAAAAGAAAGCTATCAAGTTTGATGGGTGGAGATCTGAATATATTTTAAAATCATCTGAATATATTCTGATATATGTATCATCTGAATATATGTAATAATGCCAATAATGGTACTATTGGTCCAGTTTAGAGAGTGAGTTTGAGAAACTTGTCAGTGCCAAACAGTCTTGGAACTGGCTAAACTGGTCATCACAGTGGAGAGATAAGTAAAAAAGAGAGGCTGGAATGCAGTGAGAAAACATATTGTACAATAAAAACGTGACTCCTATCCAAAGTACCTCTTCTAATTTTTTGAGGGTTGCACCTTACTATCACACATAGAAAATTTGTTTAGCAACAAAGATTTGTTGGTTCCATCCCTAAGAAACTACTAGATGTCATTCTAGTATTAAGGAAGGGTAGGAAGAAGATATAACCTGAGGAACGTATGAATAGAATACCTTTTCATTTCTTATGTCATCTGGATGGATTGATGCTGGTTTCTCCATGGCAACCAAGCTGAGGATTTGCAAAAGATGGTTCTGCATGACATCTCTGATTATTCCAAACTCATCAAAGTATCCACCTCTTCCTTGAGTGCCGAATGGTTCTTTGAAGGTTATTTGGACAGATGCAATACACTCTCTATTCCATGTTGGGCTGAATATTCTATTTCCAAACCTAAAATTTAAAATAAATATTTTAAGGTTAATAGAGACATTCTAAGTATGTTAGGATTTACATAAAGTCTTTTATTAGATAGAACACAGTAAAACTTCCAGTAAAATAGTGTGACTGATAATATATGATTATAATAGAGATAATTTAATAACTCATATTGACTGTGTAAATATTTCCTGCACACATTTTCCATAACAATTCCTAAAACACAGATTTTCAAATAACTCAGGGTGAAGGATAACAAAAGACCATAATCAAGATTTTACTGTCTCAAAAAATGTCATCCAATACTTAATATTTACTTGAAGGCCAAATCACAGCTTAGGGTGAACGTTCACTAACAAGGCAAAGACAATGACCATGACTACAACCAGAAATGTGGAGCCAGGACGACATGGTATGATGTGGGGCAACTTACACAAGACTAAAGCTCTAGACTCTGGCTTCACAGACTAACGTGCTGTTGCAACCAGAAACTGCCATCACACAGCCTACAGGCAGACTGCGACCTTGAAGAGTTGGGGTAGCTTGTGCAATTAGTGGTTGTGATTTGTGAACAAAAAGTGTGGTAGACGATGTCCGCAGAATCAGTGTTTGATGTGTTTGAAACAAGAGGTAAAAGAAATAAATTGTTTGTGGGATTTCTTTACAGAAGGTTACGCCAATGGAGTAATGAAGAAACAAAAAAAAGCGACAGAGAACAATGAATTGTGTAAGAAGGTTGAGTTTTTCATCATCCAGGGATCGTCAATCTTAGGTAGATCAGTTCTTGACAGCTGTCTTGGTCTTAGTCAAGGTTCTGGTCGTGGTCTACCAGTCAAGTGCTGGTCCTTAGTAGTCTAATAGCTTAGTAGCTAGTATGAAAAAAATTATACCAGAGGTAAATTTTACAATAAACTGCAATAAACGACAATAATTTATTTAAATTCAAGAACCAGTTGAAATGCCACTTGTTGCCACTAAATATATTTTATATGGATATATATCAAATAAATTGTTCTTTTTATATGGAGACTTGTTTTCTTTAGTTTAAGTTCTGGATATATTTTTTGACGCCATTTCATGTAGGGGCCACTGATGTACAACTATGAAATAAAGACAGTTTGATTTGATTGGCCTTGGTCTTTGTCAGTGCACACTTGTCACTTATCCATACTTATCAGTGAAAACTGAAAAAAAAGCAATATGATAAAGTTTCCAGTCAGCCCTGATGGTGGGACTGGTCGACATCAATAGCTACATATTTATGGTCTTGTAGAGTTAGAAGTATAAGTGGAAATATACAATATAAACTTATGAAGTAATGCTTGGAGAAGTCTGATTAAATCTTAAAATTTATTTTCATTTTGTGTATTAACCATCATCAAGTGCTGACTGTCTATATTATTTTTAAATTATTTTTATTATTATTATTTTTATTATTTTAAAAGATCCAACACAAAAAATAAAGATTGTTTAAGAGGTATTGTCATATGTGCCTGCTAATGTAAAATCTGAACAAATCGCCTTTAGACATTACCTGAGAGTCATGAGGTTTTGCACCATCTCTTTACCAAGGTAATGGTCAATACGGTAAATTTGTTCTTCCTTGAACAATGATGACAGATGACTGGACAATTTTTCTGAGCTTGCAGAATCTCTTCCAAAAGGCTTCTCTATGATTACTCTTGTCCAACCTCTGGAAATAGAACAAATAATTTATATCTTTAATAAGACTACAACTAATATCACAAGAAATTAAACTTCAAAGGATGCACTTATTTCTGTGTAGACTTATGACCTTTTGTAAATCCTCTGGGGACTTTAATTTAATACACGTGAGGAAATCAAATGAAGATGTCAAATGTCAATGCTTTCTTTTTCTGCCCTTCTTTGTGGTTCTTAAATGCATTCAAATGAGCCATCTTGTTTAAAATGTATTATGACAAGACAACATTATTAAGTATTTCTAATATTAGAAATATCTAAAAATAAGGTATTTTTAATACCTTAGAGTAACCGTTATATGACTTTTCGTGTTAATCAACCCTCCCTGTCAGGTATCAAGGATTGTAAGATTGTGTGCATTTCTGTGTGACATGACTATAGATAGGACGTAGAGAAAATACCTTTTGTCAACTGCGACATTACTAGGAAAATATGCACCAGTACTTGGGCGCTTGCGCTTGTCTGTATTGCCGAGCCGCTACTAGTGCTACTACATTTATGAAATTGAGTGATTTGAGGCTAAAAGGGGAGCTTTGGGGTGTGAAAGGATGCTTCTGTAACCATATGTTGAAAGGGTGGTGTATATGTACATAACATGGAATATACGTGTATTTTGGAATTAGGTTCTGCTAACTTGCTAAATTCTGTGATGTTGGACTAGAGCCTGAAAATCAGACCCTAGTCTGTCTGAGCCCTAACCACAAGTCTAAATTATACCATCCCTAAAACCAGTCACTAAATATTAAATTTGGTATATTTTAGGTTATATAGTATATTTCACGTCATAATTGTATGTCTGGTGTGGATTAGAAGGACCCAGCAAAGATTAGGCTGCTTCTATCACAATAATTGCTGCTACCAAAATTGACTGTGATAATTTGATTGGAAATTAATCTGGGGACTAGAGGACGGAGATCTTTTACCCAGACCAGAAAACAAGCCAAGCAAGCTTTGATTACACTAATTAGTAATAACTATTAATATTCAAACCTTCCAAACTAAACTGTATAAATGTGATTAAACTAGAACACAAGATGATATGAGATTGAGGGTAAACTACTTAAACTGATATTGTGATACAACTAATGCTAACCTATTTTTTGGAAAGTTAGATTTTTTTAAGAGGTTGGCATTCTCTTTTAACCTTGTATTTGCCTGCCCACATTGACTAACTGCCCGTTCGTGGAAAGTATCCAGCAAAGCAAGGGGTGAGCCGGTACAGTACAAAGATAAACTGTACTGATAAAATGTTTGTAGCAGTGAACAGGATCTGAACCCATGACATCGCTGCCTTGGCCCCGAAGTCCGAGATGCTACCGAGATGGGGAAAAAAGCCTTTTCCTACTTTGGACTCCTGGTTTACAATGCTTTGCCAGCAAGAGTAAAACAAAAGACAGGCAGTGTTAATTTCATTTTGTGTCTTCTTTGAACAAAATACAATGTCTGGAATCATTGGAGACTTTGTAGGGAGAAGAATCGTGGACCTCGTACGTTTAGTGCTTTGAGTTATTTGTCTAGTCTAACGTGATTAGTGATGCCAAAAAAAGTTAGTTCTTTATTGACAGTAGTCGGGAAGAAAACTTATAATCTGTTACACAATTTGTGCACCCCCGGTTAACCTAATGCATAAACTTTTGAAGATAGAGTACATTCCCGACTAACCGTGGTTGTTGGGACCGAGACTTCCTCGGTTACCGAGAATCTCGGATAACACAGAGGTGTCTTAGATTTTGAGGTTAGGGGTTAGGAAGTCAAATACTTGTTAAGTATATGTTTGAATAGCAATGCATAGTAAAGACAAAATTATCAATAATTGGTAGCCCTTTTTTTATGGAAAACAAATTTAAATGAGGAAGTGTTATTAAGGAAAACAATAACTCAAACATGCTTAATATGTCTTAAATTGTATTAGAAAACTTTAAATACAGTATTAATAATATCAAGCCCACACTCTACATGATTAAATAAAAACAAAATAAGGTGGACCCCTACAGTTTTTGAGGTATAAAATTAATTTTTGTTTTATTTTGACTTGGTCTATAGGCCAACTTGACACAATCATGTCAATATTAAAACATTGTAATAACAAACACGGACAAACCGGCACTGATGCCGGCAAATACTGCTTTTGTTGACATTCTGCAGACGACTCGTACAGCTTACCAAAGGTAAGCGGCCAAATTACTAGTACTGTATGTGTGTGTTTTTTATTTTCTAGGTTACTGCGTTTCATTTGAACGTTAAAATAACTAGCTGTCCCACGGGCTTCACCCCATTGACTTCATAAGCATTAATAAAACGATTGATTGGTTAAGTTGAGCTGAAATAAACAAAACAGATTACAGTAATGAGTAATGCAAACAAATAATCGCACCTGACTTTAATAAGGTAATAAATTGAAAGAATAACAAACAAATAAGTACAGCTGAGGTATTTTTATCATTAGGTATATGGAAAGTTCCCTTTAGAAAGGAATTACGACCTTAAATGACAATTTATGAAATAATGGATAGTTTTGCGCAAGGTTTCTTGTCATGACGAATATTTTAAGTATATAGTTTATCGGTGTGTGACTTTTAGTTTTCTTAAAAGTTCAAGGGTACTCTGTGATTTATATATGGGTACCTAAAATCTTCATTTACAGTTATTATTTTAAGAAATCACAAATTACTTGCTATTTTTAGGTAGGCCTACTTTACTTTAAACAGAAATATTCCTAAAAACTTAATTATTGTTTTTTAACCGGAAATAGAAATATATATATATTTAGGCCTAAGATAACCTGGAGGCTCGGATAATTGAGAGTGTACTGTAGTGTATAGTGAAGTTAATTCAGGGTCATTTACATAAAAAACCATCATTTATCGCGAATTGATACTAGTTTAGTAAACGTAACCAATTTAGGGTGAAGGATTTGCCAAATACCTAGCCGATTTAAAGAATATGTCCGTGCACAGTGGATTCGGTGCATCGTTGAAAAACTTTTTTCGAGATAGTCTAGCTAGTGGAATAAGAAGTGACAATATCAAACAGAAACTGTTAGCAGAGATCAGTTTAACATTTGCTCAAGCTGTGAAAACCGTCTCACCAGCGGAAGCGGCGGAGAAAAATGCAGAGGTGGCAAGGTGTTGCTAGAGGCAGTGGCACAACGACGACGAGATTCAGGGAGCAGCGATGGCGCCCAGCAGCACATTCTAACGTCAAAGTCAACACCTCGACCTCAAAATACATCAGTGCAGTGTTTTTGTTGGGGTGGCTTCAGTCACATGAGAAATACAGGGAGCGCCAGAAATATCTGACGGTTTTCAAGCGAGTACAGTCCGGCAGCCGAGTGGAGGGGGGTAGTGGGGAGCGGCTCATTCTCAAGGCCAAGTGACCCCATTTCAGTCGCCATGGAGCAGTGGACCAGTATACATCGCGCGTTTGCCGTTGAAGCGTTTTTTAAAAATGGCGATTCTGTTGTTAGTACGCAACGTAAGTTTCGTAGGCATTTTAATGTGGCTCTTGGGGAACCTATCCCATCCCGAAACACCATCAAATTGTGGGTGGATACGTTTAGATCACAGGATCAACTGCAAAACGTAGGCCTACAGGCCGTCCAAGGCCAGTGAGGACGCCGGAGAACGTGGAGCGAGTGGGACAAGCTGTGCTAACAAGCCTGCATCGCCCGACGCGTAGACAAGCTGCTGCTCTTGGCATGTCTGATCGCTCTATTAGACAAATTTTGCACTCAGACCTTCACTTTCACCCGACGATTGTTATTTTATATGGGTGAAAAAGAAGGATCCGGACGATGCGGGCTCGTTAGCACAGCTTGTCGCACTCGCTCCACGTTCTCCGGCGTCCTCACTGGCCTTGGACGGCCTGTAGGCCTACATTTTGCAGTTGATCCTGTGATCTAAACGTATCCACCCACAATTTGATGGTGTTTTGGGATGGGATAGGTTCCCCAAGAGCCACATTAAAATGCCTACGAAACTTACGTTGCGTACCAACAACAGAATCGCCATTTTTTAAAAACGCCTCAACGGCAAACGCGCGATGTATACTGGTCCACTGCTCCATGGCAACTGAAATGGGGTCACTTGGCCTTGAGAATGAGCCTCTCCCCACCACCCCCCTTCACTCGGCTGCCGGACTGTACTCGTTTGAAAACCGTCAGATATTTCTGCCGCTCCCTGTAAGGCCCTTATTAGACGAGGCAGCCAAGTTGCGCAGCCAGCCGGGCAGCCAGTCGGCCAGCAAGTCACTGGGCATTGGTTCTTATGGAGCTTATTACACGAGGACAGCCAGTTGCGCAGCCACTGTTTGGCTGCCGGCTGGTTGCCGAGCCCGGCGACCGCACAGGCAACCACTGGCTGCTCGGTCTGGTCGCGCTCCTGTGTAGCTTACGGATCTTATTACACTGGGCTGCCAGTCGCCCGCTGCCACTCTCATTTTAGTGTCTTTGCCAGTAATATCTTCTCTTGTTAGGCCTAAAACTTGATCGGGACATGCGGAAATAATTTAAAAACTTATCATCATCTGCACAAAGTTCGTCAAAAAGGGTGTAATATAATCCTTTTTCTGTTTTTGATGAAAGAATAGGATGTATATGCATTCTCCTCTTCCTTCTTCTTCTCTTTTTCATGAGTAGCAGAAGAAGCAAATATTCATCTCGCATTTCTGACAGCGTCTCTCCCCAACAGAACTGTTCCACCAACACTGATTCCACTGTCAACAAGAGACTGGCCTAGTTGGTAATTTTGTGGCTGCCCTGTGGTTGCTCTACTGGTTGCTACGCTAGGCAGCCAGACAGGTGACTGGCTGCCCGGCTGGTTGCGCAACTTGGCTGCCTCGTCTAATAAGAGCCTAAGTGTAGATTATTGGGTGTTGTGGTTTGTCATTTTTGTGGAAAAAGAATCATATATCTACAGTGTGTATATCAAAGCTGTTGGGTAAGTCTAACAAAAATTATACCTATAAAAATGATAAAAACAATTTGTAAACTAAAAGGAATAATGGACAGTTTAAACCAAAGAACAGCAAAATGCATAGTTTTGTTTCTGACAGGGAATGAATTCTAATGATAGTTGTGATGAGTATGTAGTTAATATTGCTACACTATTTCAAATTGTGGGAGAAATTGAGGTTGATAAGTTAATAGTAGTAATGCTAACGCTAAAGTAGCTCCACTTAAAATTGATGCTATTATAGAAGGTAAACAAGTCACTTTAGAAGTTGACACTGGAGCTAGTGTCAGCGTTTTAGTGAGGATTTGTACAACAAAAATCTGTCATTTTTTAAATTACAGCCTAACGATCTATCCTTAAGTTCGTAAACTAACGAGCCTATTGAGGGGCAATATATTACTTTGTTTCCAAAGGAAGGAAGAATTAACTGTAGAGATGGGCATTTTAATGTTGAGCTACAAAGTCGTGGTTCCTAATTCTATGAGGGATTATGTTTTAAAAGAGTTACATTGTAGTCATATGGGAATTGTAAAAATGAAGTCAGTCGCAAGGTCGTATATCTGGTGGCCAAATATAAACCAAAACATTGAAGCCCTAGCAAACAGCTGATCTTCCTGCCTTATCGAACGTTCTAACCCAACTAAGTTTATTGCATAATTGGCACTATCCATCTAAGCCTTGCGAAAGATTACTATATTGACTATTTTGGACTGTATTAACTATCTGAAAAGATTAGTGGTGTATTTACAGATGATAAGCTTAGACAAAATCTTTTTATGGAGAATTACTATAAATAAAAACATATAAAATCGCAACAAATCCATCTTTGCACTTTGACCTGGCCACTGATAAAACATCTTGGTACATCAATGTCAATACCGTATTATGAGTTATTAATACTACATATTTAACATAATTTGACTTCTTGTGTTACTTTTCAGTGAATGAAGTGTTACGTAATGCTCATAAATAACCATTAATAGGGATGAAAACATTAAACAATAACTTTTAAAATAATACTTTAAAAAAAAAAACACAATCTTTTGCTCAAGTAGAATGAACTAAGTTTGCAAAAAGGAGAAAAGTAAGCAATTTGGATTAGACACTCTGATTTAAATCAGATCCTAATAAGAGTTTGTGCAATGTATAACAACTTTGTTTATTTAGAAATATTCAATAAATTTAACATTGGAAAGTACACTCATTTTATTTTTAGTCCTAACTATGTTTTATTCTTCCCCCATTCATAATTGTATGTCTGGTGTGGATTAGAAGGACGGACAGCAAAGATTAGGCTCTGCTTCTATCATTAAAATACTTTTGCCTGGAGTGAGCTGGTCTACTGGTAGAGCAGGGGCTTCGGTCCCCGAAGTATCGGATTAGAATCCCAACAATCAATCACCAATCATTTTATCAATGAGAAATAGTGTACCCTTTAGGCCTAGAAAAGTGAAGTAATATGAAAATTGGTTTCAGGCTAGAGCCTCGCGTCCTAAGATGTAAAGGAACTACATAACAAATACGAAACGGGACAGGAAACGACAAAAGATCTTACGATGGGGGATGCGAAAGTAATACCATACAAGCTTTGATTGGATGCTCAATACAACAAACACGGCTAGATTTGGGAAAATACACATTTGGACGATTTTTCAATGCTTGACGCTACCTTGTTAAATTAAATTTTTTAACAAAACTATCTGCAATGTTGTGATTTATGCATGTACTGAAGGCTGCAGCCAAGACTCTTTTAACCTTGAGCTCTGTACACCACTGAATCACAATCAGTCTTACCAAAAGAACAACAATGAGTTGCGATAAATTGGTGGAATCTAAGAGTGAAGTTGTTGACCGTAACAACTTGATATGTTCACATTTTATGTATTGATCCTAAATATTCCTCCTTTGGTTTATTGGGTGAGCCCAAATATTATGACCTGGGTGTCCATTCTTGTTAAGATATATTTGAGTATTTTATATCAGTGTGTCATACCTAGAGGAACCAAGGTGCAAGGGTACTTATCACAACGGACCTAGCAGTAACTGTGACCCAATGATGATGTACACACTATAATAGAAATAAAAACTATGCATCATGGAGGCAGATATAAAAGCAATTTACCTGGACGCCATACAGCAGTTTCTGAGGTGTACTGTGACATTCTCAAACACTGAGGGTGGAAGGGCCAGGTAAAAAAGTCTGTGAGCAACCCCACTTGTGGGTTCATGCTTCATGAGGGTTTGATTGAACATTTCAAAATCCTTCCGGTTGTCGTAACTACCCTTAAAGTAGTGGTTGAGCTTCCAAAACTCTTCATATCTGTCTTTTTCTTCTGGTTTTACCTGCAATGTAACATTATTAGTTAATGTATAATGACAAAGCATTATATTCATTAGTTAGTTAATGCATTATGACAAAGCTTTATAACTGATGGAGTAATGTTTAAGAGAGGTTTTAAAAAATGTGATAAGTAATTTTTTTTAATAAAAAAAATACCCCTGCTGCAGCAAACCCGCAGACTAAGCGATTTTCTATTTCACTGGCCGGATTTATACTAAAATAGGCTTCCCTTAAAATTGTCAGATTTATTTCCTATTTAAATAACATTAATTTTAATGAGTACTTAGGTTTGCTGCTACAGGAAAGGTGTGATTTTTTAAATTGAAACTTTGATAGCTTAGTATGCAATAAACGAAATTGCCAAAATTGATTGAAAATTTAGAATATATCCATAAACAAGCAAACTACAACAATTTGTAAAGTTCAACTTCTGTATTCATATTGTAGAAAATATTAAAACCTGAAATTCAAACTCATAGAATCAATTTTTGAAGCATATAAAAGTCAAACAGTTCCCTATACAAGACTCTCTCAGAACAATGGCATGAAATTCAACAATTCATTAACTAGGATAGGAATGATGTTAACATAATTTCAATTTGTTATACCCTTTGCTTCACTGATTAACACACAAGATAAATTATGTATAGCTAAAGAGAAAATAAGCCTTAAAGGATGAATATGAGTGTTCTTTAGTTGCTTACATTTTGTCACTCTCTCAACTAACTCGTTAATGACAGAGTACAAGACAATGTCATTTTCTATATTAATTTTTATAGAAGGAAAATGAGCCTACTCTGTATGTACAGTTTGATTTAAAAGTCCCGGAACGGTCTAATATATTCTTCACCTTTATAGATAAAGTAATGAGACTTGGTATATCAATAATAACCATAAATGTCTACTCTTTTAGGCCATTATCATTTTTTTATAAGGGCCCACGAGGAGTCAGACAAAATTCTTTAATAGCAGCATAGGTCAAGTTTGGTATCAAATTAAAGGTCTTTGTTGGAGAAAGACATTAGCCTATCTCAAACCTGAACTCAAACGGAAAACCGAGTCTAAAATTACAGCTTTTCAAAGATTCATTGAATTTGCAATTAATGCTATTATACACTACTTCTTCAGGGGTAGAGTTCAGAATAAAATCAAAAACTTATGCATAGGTCAATATGCACATCAAATTAAAGGTCTTTATTAGTAGAATACAACGCTGATTTTTTCCCCCAAAAGAACAACTGAGTAAAAAATGGCAGCCATTTAAAGATACAAAATGGCAGAATCAATAAATATTTCAACTGATGCCTTTTTTGACTCGATTGTCAGTTTGCGTTCGGGTTTACCGCAATGTGTTTCACCAACTAAAGGTTTTTTTAATGTCTACTTTTTAATAGCAATATGTCAATCAATATGTGCTTTTTAAAAAAGCATCAATCAATATGTAATATTAAAAAAAAAACTCATCTATAATGACTGAAAGATTGTAAACATTACTGTTTCAAGATTTGATTGGAGAGATCTAAAAAAATAAAAAACAATAATCTTTCAGTGATTATTAGGATTTTAACAGACATGAAGCCAGTATATTTTTTTCATACGAAGGTTACAAGCATTGTACCATTGGTTATATACATTTACCAATGTTGTCTTAGTTATGAACTTAATTCATTTAGTTTACCCTTTCCTCTCCCTAATAATTATGTTGCATCAATAAATCATTAATTTTACACTAAACAAATTAAATTTTAGGAATATTTTTCACAAAACTTTAATGTGTTTGTGATTGGACCACTTTCTCTTTAAAGCTTTTAAACTAACTCCGACTTCAATATTAAATTGTGTTTAAATGTTTAAACTGACTTTGACTCAAATTAAAACTTGCCACTGGCGTAGACTTGAGAAAAATATATGTTTGTGAATTGCTGTAAGAAGTTGTAAAACAAGGTGATCATGGAAGTACAGTACTTCAACCACACATTGTTAATTCCTAATCTCTGGTTTTGACTATTTACATTAAAATCTCTTTTCAATAAAATTTTTTTCAACAAGACATTTAAGAGGCGTATTTTGAAACAATATCATTTAGATTTTCATAATTCTTCTTAGCTTTTGTTTAAAACTTAAGTGTATAGTCTAAATTTTAAACCTAGTCTTACCGACATGTAGGGTTCACATTTCTTCCTTAATTCTTCCACTGTGAGATTTGATCTTGCATAACCGTAGAAGATAATTTTGTTAGGAAGAAGCTTGTCTCTGAATAACAGCCATAATGTTGCGTATGTTTTCTTCCTTGCCAAATCTCCCTACAAAATCAATAAAGAAATTGAAATTTCTCCTCTGTGACAACAAATACTAACCTGATATTTAACTAACTAATATTTAACATCTCAAGATTGTAACAAAGGTTAAAATATTGACAGAAAATATCATGTTACCCACAGTTCTAAAGTTATTTAATTGCTAAAATACAGTTTACAATCTAAAAATAAAAATGTATTTTAAACTTTGTAAAATAAAACAATTGCATACCACATGCCAGTTATTGTTAAAGATACATATCTGCATGTTTATGCATTGATGCATTGTATTCGGTAGCTGTTTTGATGTCCTACAATTATTGTAAATGAAATTAAGATACAAATATTATTGCATCGAAGTTCATCTTTGCGGCTGTTGTTAAAAGCTTTATAGTAAAATTCTTGTTCTAATTTTTCATTTTATTTTGCTCAGTTTCTTAGCCCACATTCTTAGTTTGTGATCTACACTTCAATTCAAACAAAGTATAATTGTTTTTTTTTTCTATTTACCTCCTCATTTTATATACTTGTTGTACCTGTTAGACACTTGTTTGTTTAAAGTCCACTGTTAATAATTATGAAAAGTAAAAGAAGAAACAAATACTACACTTTTAATCGTGATTTGGGCTCTAATTTTGTACCTCAACTAGGCTTAGGCTCCTTAGCCGTTATTGCAAATACTGACGTTGATGATCCCCACTTTATGAGAAATGAAACTGAACAAAGATGAAGACATTAAGTATACAAGTAAGTATATAAGTATTTAATAATTATCAATGTATTTTAAATGGCCCAAGAAGTAGTAAATAATTTTATCCATAAAATTTGCAATAAAAAAATAGATTCATTAAAAATAAAATATGTGCGAAGTTTAATTCTATAAGCTTTTTGAATGAATAAGTAAACTCTAAATTTCCCTTACTTTTTAATCCAAATTCTAAATTTTTTTATTGGTAAAAGTTTAAAAAAATCCTAACACAATCTTTCTTCCACCCATAAGGATTATCAGTAGTAAAAAAATCCAAACATGAAAAAATGTTGTTTTGAAACAATTGGGCGCATTTTCTTGCGTGGGATCAGAAAACGCTGTGAGGCAAAGAAACAAGCTGAACCTGTTGCGGATTGCATTGTGCTACAAACGTGAGTTATGAATTGCAGATTACGAGGCGAAAGTACTGATATAAAGTACTATGTGGTCCAAGGAAACATTGCTACACTTAGTCTGTAGGAGGATTGGACTATAAACGAGCACAGTTCATACACAGAACATAGCTTTAGGAATACTTGTGTAACCACTGAATTGCACTAATCCTGCCCTATTGAAGGATCAGTGTCAGTATGTAATTTTAAAGTGTCAAAATAATTAAACGTCCTTATAAAATATGTCTTTTAAAATAATTAAAAGTCCTGCAGTATATTATTCATACTGTGGCAGTAGGCCTATTATTATTTATTTATACTGTAGTGCTGTATATATTAATTGGAAAAACTTGTCTGAACACTCATTCACACAATGTCAGTTGTTATTTTCAAAACGTCAAAGGAATAAAACTGTAGTGCTAATATATCCTTTAATAAATCATTTACAAATTTTGATAGAAAAATTTTGTTCGTACTATTATATATATATATATTCTTTGCGGGAAAACTTGTATAAGCATTGATTCAAAGCATTTTTGTACGATGTATTCTTTGAATATACTTGTCTAACCCTTCATTCACAGATGTCGATAGGTAACTTCAAATCTCAAAGGAACAAAACTGTAGTACTATTATATTCTATTTAGAAAACTGCCTAAGACTCTATTCACAGAATGTCAGTAGGTAATTTAATTACAAAGGGGAACAACTGTGTAGTACTATGTGGCTTTACTTTTCAGTGGTATGGTTCTACAATGGAAAATATGTTACATAGTAAAGAAATACCAGGATTCAAACTGTTTTCCTGCAACAACTTTAAAAAATCTAAGGGGGATAAGTGACATAAGAAAATATTAAATTTTCTTAAGCAATAAGTGAACTTTTAATGTAAATATACTTGTCCTAGTCTTTGATAATGTTTATTTTTATAATGTGACATATTTAAAACCTAAGATATTTTTTACATGGCATAAATGATACTGTGACCGTTTTAATACACAAATAGGAAATTCAATCCAAATTATTACAAGACTTTTCAAGTGCAATGACTCCAATCTAATGGCTCACTTAGATCTAATAGCTCCCATTAAATCTCATTCATTTTACATTGCGAAAGAAACCAGTTTTGTGTTACGAATATGGGGATCTTGGTGAAGATTCCAACTCAAACTTGAATACGCTTCTGTGGTGGTAGTTAGTTTTGTAAAATATTAATTATTAGTTTTTGTCGAATTTTAAATTCACTTTCAAGCTGTAAAATTATTTTTGTAAATATTGCTTTAATCACCAGCTGATCCTCCCTTGTTTTCAGTTAAACTTGAGCTAGTTTTGTAAAAAACCACTTCACACATAAAGATAAAACATATACTATGATATATATTGTACTTGTGTTATGTGTTATTATTAAACTTACATGTTAAAGTCTTATAATTCAGTGCAAGAGTGATGATTTAAATTGCACAGAGAATCACATTAATTATATTTTTGAACTCTTAGTAAAACTCCTCTGAAAAAAAAAAGAATTTGTTTAGTAAGGAGTATGTTACCATATTCTTAGTTACACTATTTGATGGATAAATTGTTTTTAATTAACTTTGGAATTTCTTAATCAAATCTGAATTATAAACATATAAGTTGTGGCTAGAATGTTGTGCAAGGCACTGAGATTGGGTCAAGGCTAGTAGCTGACAGACCCATCGACCTAACGACCATTGCTAGCTGCTAGCAGTCGCCAGTTGCCACTGACTGCGGTTGCAATGATCTCCCTCTCCCTCTCTCTCTCTCTTGCACACACAACATGCACATGCATCAAAAATATTTTAAATTGAAATATAAAAAGCTATTTAAAGAGTATTTGTCATCATACAGCAGCAAAAACACCTGTTTTGAATACATGTGGTGCTAAAGGTAGCTCTTTTTCTTCCCAGGGCAAAAAAGAATCAGCTGGAGTCAAGGACATCAGCTGATTTTCTGACCTCAGTTTCACTATTGTTAGACTGTCACTAAGAGTCAGACCATAATGATGAATTAAACTATTATTACCTACGACCGTTTTTTAAAGTAGCCATTTCAGTCCAGTTCTTAGAATTGAAAAGTTTCACTTTACAGCTGTTTACTTTCATATCCGCATAGTTTCATTTCATATCCGCATAGTTTTCTCATATCCACACAGGTAACGGACCAATGAGGTTCAAGTATTGAGAGAAAAGAATTAAAATTGTAATGCTTCGAACGTCAACTAATCAGCTGATCAGCCGATCAGTTGACCAATTTAATTGTTGATCCGACTTGTTCATGTTGATACTCGCGTATTCTTAAAGTTGGTGGAAGTCCAAAAATAAATGAAATATCTGCCGAATTGTACCTGATACAATATTATTTATGGTAAGAATGATGCTAGCAATGTAATATTTAACGAAGTTTAACAAACACGTAATCACAGGAAATCAGCTGATTATACAACAAGTCGTTGCATCACTTTCAGTGGCGAAAACATAACCTCTCTAAAAAGTTATCAGAAGTGATTGTTAGTAATTAAATCCAGATTGATAGTAATTAAAAAACGGTCGTAGGTAAAGTAGTGTACGCAACTCGCGTTAATAGTCTTTACGACACTCGTAGAAGTTTTTAAGGCACTCGCCAAGGCTCGTGCCTTAAATTTTCTACTCGTGTCGTAAAGACTCACTTAACGCAATCGTTGCGTAAACTACTATTATATGCCAAAAGCTTTGCATTTATCCAACAAATTAGATATTATCTAAATATTTTAATATTATTTCCATCCTACATCCTGTAGCATATAGAATTGTGATTGGTTTGTATTCTACATTGTAAAATAAAAATAATTGAAATAAATTTATAGAAGTCTATACTTCCCAAAGTATCAATTGAAGGAGAAGACTTCCAGCACTTACAACTGATCACAATACAAAGAATACATTTTAACGAAATCCCAGTAAAGATAATGATAATTATTTAACATTAATCAATGGATGAGATACTAATTTTAGCCATTATCTAAACAATGAACAAACCAACTAAATTAAATGTTTCCTTGTTACCTTTAAATTGTTTTAACATACTATCTCTGTTATCTATATTGCACATTCACAAAGAATTTTTTCATAATAATCATTAACTGATCTAGTTGACATGTAATTTGATCTTTTTGAAAAATTAAAAATACAAACAAAGTTTAGTGATGTAAACATATCAGTACACTCTAAGGTAATCTTTCTCAGAATAATAAGTTCTCTCCAATAACAATCTATATATATAATACGCTAAGCCGATTTTTGTGAACAGAACTCCTCCCTCATTTTTGGACCGATTTTGATGATGTCAAAAAAATTGCCCTGATCTGTAGTTTTGCAAAGTGTTTTTCGTTTTTTGATATCTTTATTAGTTTGGACAGTATCTTCCATCAAAGTTGGGTTTTCTCCCATAAGATTAACATCGGGGAATCAAAATATTTAATTAGAAACTTTGTCTCCACTAATTTGAGAGAACGGCTGGGTGTAGAAACTTGGTAGAGGTGTCAAAAGAAAGGTCTTGGTCTGTAGATGAGTTATCAAAAGAAAAACGAAGTAAATTTGCTTAGGGCTCTGCCCCCAGAGGCCTTTAAAGATCCCACCACAGAGTTGTTTACATTTTGGTCATGTGGATAATACTTTTTAATAAAACAGCTGTTAATTTTAAAATTGTATTTTAAACAACACACATTTATTGGGAGTTACTGAATTGGTCAAAAGAAGTATTCGCAATGTTATTTTGTGATTTTAAAATTGATTTTCTTCTGTATCATGTCATGTGTTGCAATATAAAGTTTCATTACAAAATCAGTGGAAAATCCTTTTATCACAATA